TCCTGTAGTATCATTCATTCAACGATTTTGTACAAATATATGTCTTTGTTTTAATTGCCATAACATAATTTACAGATTTCTTCCCATATGGCTGATTGCAATAGCACATACAGCAAAATATCAGCCGGCAACATTTGCTTAATAAATTGTGTCTCTGAGCAGGAAAAGCTGTATTGTTTCAGTAATTCATAGTCGCTAAGCTTTTATGACGGGATCCTGGCATGGTTTGCAGTCAGTGCCCAACGCAGCCCCCAAGGCACAGCGCTGCCAGTGCCCACACCCAGCACCTGGGGTTGGGGGCAGTGCCACTGGGAGCCCCCACCTGCCCTCAGCCATCCTGTGGGTGCCTGGAGGTGTTTGCTCTTAGCTTAGCAAGGATCAGCCCCGAAAGTGCCATCAGCATTTGTCAGGAGAGCAGAAATGATACCATCTGGTTCCTGTATCTGCTCACAGTCAGTGAATTTCAGACCCAGTTTGCTCAATTTTCTGAGTCAAACAAGGTCCCTCTCCTGAACACAGCTCTGAAAGGGCTTGGGTGTCCTCAGTGGGCAAACCAACCCCAGGCAGTGGGAGCGGGGACATGGCTTCGCTCAGCTCAGGTGGACTCTGGCCCTGCTTGGTGAGGGGCTGCTCTGGGGACAGCCCTGGGCATTGCTCCCCATGCTCAAGCCAAACTCTGCAACAGAGATCACAGAATCACAGAACGGCCCGGGTTGGAAGGGACCTCAAGGATCACGAAGCTCCAACCCCCCTGTGCCATGCAGGGCCACCAACCTCCACATTTCACAGCAGCCCAGGCTGCCCAGGGCCCCATCCAACCTGACCTTCAACACCTCCAGGGATGGACGCGGCATCACAGCCTCTCTGGGCAGCTGTTCCAGCACCTCACCACTCTCACAGCACACAACTTCCCCCAGACATCCAACCTCAATCTGCCCTGCTGTTCTCTCCCCTTTCCAAGAGTTGATTCCCCTCCTGTCTGCAGGCTCCCTTTAGGTACTGCAGGCTGCAATGAGGTCACCCTGCAGCCTTCTTTTCTCCAGGCTGAACAAGCCCAGCTCCCTCAGCCTGTCTTTGTAGGGGTGGTGCTGCAGCCCTCGGATAATTTCGTGGCTCTCCTCTGGACCCTCTCCAACAGGTAGAGATGTTGTGATCCAGCTCCGCCTTCCTTCAGCCCAGAAGCAGCAGAAGAGCCTGAGCACAGGTCCGGACACCAGACAGGGGGTGTCCTGCTCTGCTGCCATTTGCCCTTGGGCACTGCTATAGTCAATGCACGTAACCCGCTTCCAATACTGGCAAATGCAGTGGGGAAAACGAGACCTTTTTTTGCACTGATGTTTTTTTCTCTCATTCAGCATTTGCATGCACATGGCTTTAGCGGAAGAACCAAGCCAGCACCAGCTCTTTTCTCAGGCTAACGAGGGCTGACGAGCAGCATCGCAGCGCCCCGAGCTCCACGCGCTCCTACCCTGGGCTCCGGGCTGGGCGCTGAGGCTGAGCCGCCGCGGCAGAGCAGCGCTGGGAGCCGGGGCTGCCGGTCCGCACACGCAGCCCGGCGTGACATGGAGGCGTTCCCGTGTGCCGCAACGGCTGCGCACGGCAGCGCTCCTGCGGGAGCTGCGATGGGCTGTAATGAGGGCAGGGTGCAGCGTAGCCTTAAATGCGACCTGAAATAACCAGAAACAAACCGCATTTGTGACAGCTCTGCTGTCGTGAACATCCCATTCCGGGAATGCGAATACCGACACGAAGTGTGAGGGAGCTGTGTAGCACTGGAACTGGAATGTCCCTGTGAGTGTGCATTAGGGCAGTTTCCATAGCGTCTTCTTCACAACTTCTCTGAGGCTTAAGCTATCTCTCATGCAGTCAGGTTTAATAACACAGATGCGTCCTCTGTGCTCAGTTCATGTTAATGATATGTATTGACTTCTGCATATTGTAAATTGTGCATGAAATGACCATTTTCTGTCTACTAGAAGTGTTACTGTGCAATTATTGCTTTGTTACACAGTCTGAAAAGTGAGCTTTAGAAATATTCCTTTTCACTCATTAGCAAAGTAGTGGATCCTCATTGAGAAGTACATTCCTGGATGATGTTTTCTTCACGGCAGAGCCTGAAGAGTGTGTCTTTGAGCTTCAGCACTTCTGCCTGTGCTCACATGCAGCAAAGGGCAGAGCTGAGCCCTCCTGAGCACCCCTGGCCCTTTGCATGGCTGCAGCTGGGGTGGCTGCGTAGAGCAGTGGGGCTGTGCTCCTTGCCGTGGGAGTGCAGCACTGCTGAGTGGGCTCGAGCCATTGCAGCATTTATGAGAGCACCACAGTTCTGTATTTCTCCAGCCTGTCCTGTGTATGTTTTATTGCCCCAAAGGTACGGATTTACACGGTCTGAGAAGTAGATGTCATGCAAATCATGGTGCATAATTCTCACCACCTCTTGGTACCACACGTGCTGATGAATGCAATTTATCTGTAGGAAGGAAAAGAAATTTTTCACATGACAGGTCTTTCTCTTCTCCTGTTTTGCTCATTGCTTTGGAATTAGATGTGACAGTTTTGTGCTTATGTAGCATCGTTTGTTCTGCCATGCTAATAGCAAGCCAGCAAAAGGTTAGCCCTCCTCCCACTGGGCTCTGGGCTTTCCTCCTCCTGTGCCCCTTTGCACTGCACGTTTCCCACAACACACACACGTTTCTTCGAGGAGAACAGACCTCAATCAGAAAACTGAAGATGTGCATTAACCACTTACGTAACACGGACACGTTACCTTACGAACGGCAGAGCATTCCTGCAAGCAGAGCCTCATTCTGGCATTAAAATGTTAATGCAGCAAAGATCAGTTCAGAAACAAGTTTACGTTGAATGCAAACTCAGAAATCCATCGTGGCAGCCTTCGTGCGCTGGTAGGAGAAGCCCCCGAGGGCAGTGAGCTGTGGCAGTGACTCATGGCCGCCTGCCGCTGCCGCGCCGAGCTTCATGCACCGCACAGTCATTGGGGATGGCAGGGGGGGCCGGCTCATCCCATGCCCAGTCCTGCCCTGCGCCCTGGATGTGCTCCCAAGCCACCTGCAGATCCCATCCAGCAAAGGACTGGGCCGGTCCTAATCTTTAAAACTCAAAAAATTGCTACCATTTAAAAGAAGAGGGCACAGGGAGGGGAGGGGTGTTTTCCCAAAGCGCTCTCGTGAATCGAGATGTGAGCAGACAAACTTCTTCCCAATATCTTGCTTCTTTCTCCCAGTATTTTCAGAGCAGTTTATGTTTTCAGTGAATTTACTCCTGGAGCTGTTTTTCTCCCAAGGCACTGGAAACAGCAGCGCAAACACCAGTAAGAAGCAGAGAGAGCCGGATGCATTTCGAGAAGTAGAAATGAAGAACAGAGGGATATAGGACTGATATGATGAAAAGGAGTGCAATAGAGCCTTGTATTTGCTGATTTATGGTGTCTCCAGGAGTGAGGCAATAGGTTTCCTATCCAGCCTGGGAGGGATTTCCATAATGTGCCTGAGCCTCCTTTGGTTTCTGGTCATTGAACGGCTTCAAACTGAAACCTAACAGAATGAGGCCAGATGGGGCTATAGCCTCACTCAGTGGCAGTTAGAGGGTTGTTTCATTGAGCTCCCTCCTTGCCAGTGGAAGGTCCTTCCTCTTTCTCATCCCCTGCTGAGCCTTTAGCTTCTCTGTGTTATTGTGTTCCACCACACTGTCCAGTGCTGAGTCCTAAAATTTCCCTATGGGACTGTGAGCGTGCACAAATACAGCTGTGTGTTTGCCCTGCATGCCCACAGTCAGTGCCACCAGCTGCAGGATGCTGGGCTGCAGGGATCTCTCTGTTGTGCCTTTGTTCTGGGGATCAGTCTTGTCCTGAGTTGTGCTGCATGGACCATGGCTGTGTGCATCCACTGGGCCAGCACCCATGGGGCCATTGCAGCAGCTCAACAGATCCCTGGCTGGTTAGACAGCAATCACATTCTTACCAGAAAAAGTACTTGTTTTAATTGCGTTAATCTGATGTTTGGCTCAGGAGCACCTGCTCCACACATGCAGAGCAGCACTGTGCTTCGAGCTCTTCTATGGGAAGTACAGCTGTGCACTGTACGTGGGATAGCATTTACTTCTTCAACGAGCAGAGGTTTTGTAATTGGTTTATGCCCCAACATGACTTGTAGTGTTGTCTTGAATAGAGCTGCAAACATTGCAGAATAGGGAGGAAAAAGGAAATAAGCTTTATTCTTGTTCTTGAAAGAAAATTTGCCTTTTCTTTGTCAGTCCTTACTGATGGTACTCTACTAGCAAGGAATAAAGCAAAGGTTGCTGTAAGCAAGAAGCTGTGCAAGGCCAAGCCCTTGGAGCCCTCGTATGCTGCTGTCAGCCTCTGTGAGCCACATCACAGGGCTGCAGGGCTGTGGGGACAAGTACAGCTGCAGCTGGTGTCAGTGGGGCTGGGGAGCTGAGGGAAGGCTGAGTGCTGGCATCGCTTCTTGGCTGCTTTTGAGCGCTGACTTGGCGGTGGATGAGTTTGTTGTGATAGAATGTGAGCATCCCTGCAGACACTCCGTATAAGTAGAAGTACCCATCCGCAGGCCAAGGCAGCAGAGAGTGTGGTGCCATGGTGGTTCCATGGTGTCCAGGAAAAAGGGAAAATAAATCTTATTTCTACCTGGTAAACAGATCTGTGGTGATAATTATGGTGGCCACTGGAGATGACATGAACATGACTGTACCATCCTATGGCAGGAAGGAGCCTCTCTGCAGTTGCTCCCCTTGACTTGAGGACCTGGGGGCTGTGGCATGAGCAGACCTGCTCCCCAGAGTGTGCTCTGCAATGGGTTTGTTCCTCAGGTGAACCTAGCAATACTTGTTGAGCGTGCTTGAAGGACTTCACAAATGACATAACCTCTGCTTCGTACCTAGAGGTGAACCAAGTTAAACAGCATTTGATTTTCAAAGCAGGAGGGGAACCTTCAGGTCAGGGCTTGAACTGGCAGTGGAGCACCTGTGAAGGGCTGTGGCTGCCCAGCGAGCGCAGGAACGTGGTTTGCAGCTGTGCTCCACAGCTGAGCAGAACGGCCGGACCCAGAGAGGAGCCTCCATGGGCTCATATAAGAGCCAGCCAGTGGAAGGAAAATCTCTTGGACCTGGGCAGCTTTCTGAGGAGGTGCTCTGTGCAGCCTGAGAGCCCCTTCGCCAGCGGGGTGAGTGCAGCTCTTCTTTGTCTTCCTGCTTATGGCTGTTGGCCTACCTGTGAATGCTTTGCTTGGTGCTGCCAAGAACCTTTCAGAAGAATTTAGCTTCTTCGTGGGCAGAGCAATGTCTGTAGTTTTTGTCCCCACTTGTTGGATAAGGAGAAACAAAAGCAGTCTGTTCTCTGCTGGGTGAAGTACTGAGAACAACCAAGTACAACAGCTTTTCTAGCTTCCTTTTTGTTTCATCATGATAAACACAATAAGGAGCTGAAAAAAAAAAAGTAGGCTGTGCTCGTAACAAAAGCTGGGGTTTGGGCTACGTGGTCTCTAGATGTCCCTTCCAACCCCTGTGATCACATGGTGGGACACTGCAGCAGGAGGCAGGGATGGGGCTGCAAAGTTCTGGGGCTGCATGGGCTGGGCTGAAGCAGTGACTGCTGGAGTGGGGAGAGCTGCAGAGCAAGATAGGGAGCAAAAACTCAAAGCTTAGAGCTGGTAAGAATTTAAAGCTTAATCTCATAATAACCCCAGTAACTGATATTTCTTACAGAAAAGAGCCTTTTGAATTCATCCTATCCTAGAACTCACACGGACTTCTCCACAGTCCTAAGTAACTCACCAGCTATGTTTGTATGCCATTTTAGTTTAGTATGTTTCCTTTTTTCTCACTTTCTTAAGGATTCTGTATTTCAGTAGCTCTCTCACATATTTCATTAACAGTGTGCTTTGTTAATATCTTTTTACAGTGATTAGAATTTTAAATGCACATTTGAAGAGAACCCAAAGAGATTAAATGAGTGTTAATAGAATTTATACAGTCTATTAGCAACTTTGTGCCATGTTTGTAAAATTCATGAAGCGACGTCTTTAATTATATATGCTGATGAAATCTGGGATTGAGGGCCTACCAGTGAATTATTGTTTGAGGTTGAACCAGACATCCATCTTCTGGTAGAAGACACTGACCAGTGCTGTCAGAGCCTCGCAGATCCATTTATCACCGAGGCACTGGCCGTGTATTGAAGGTAACCTGAGAGTTTGGTTGCCTCACCCTGGAGCTGGGTCTGTTTTCTAATGTGCTCACGCTCCATAGTGTCACAGGTCCTGTCTGAGGACAGTGGCATTGCTGGGGCAGGCGCAGACAGTGGGCACGCGATGGCTGTGCTGGTGGCAGAGTCCTGCAGTGCTGTGGATGCTCACCAGTGGCCTGCAGCCTGCAGCACCTGCCTTCAAGGGCCTCAGAGTAGTGCAAAAATAAAGGCCCAGCACTGGGAAGGAAGTGGTGTAATTTGTCCCCAGGGCATTTTCTCTAAGACTTTGAGGCAACACTTCAACTCCCTGCAAACCTCTGTGGCTGGTGACCTGATGTTTCTTGTCCTTAAAGATCTCTTTCCTGGTATGCAATTCCAAGTTCTCTACTCCCAGTTTAAACCTTCATCTAAATTTAGGAGGAAATTAAACACTGATGCTCTAACAGGAGCAGGGACAGGTGTCCAGCTGAGAGCCTAATAGCACAGTGCTGCATGAAATCAGTCTCTCACACAATAATTACCATTTGGAGCAGACCAGATCCCTTTGTTACAAGTGATCATATGCCTGCACAGCTCTGCTGTAATTACACAGCAAGTCTTGCACCTTCAGCCCGATGGCCGGTTGCAAGCTGCTGTATGCATGAACCCAAGTTTGGGAGCAAAAGTCCTTCAGCAGTCAGATATGTGATGGAAATGCCATGTTAAGGCTTCTAAATGCTTGAGATGATTGCCCTACGTGTTCCAGCTGTGCCTGGGTTGTTTTCTAGGCACTGCTCCTGCCCTTCTCTCTGCCTGGTGGCTTCCCTCCCACACAGGATGGCAGTGCTTTGGGCAGGAGAGACTTCCAACACTTCTGCATGATGGATTGACTGGAGGATCTGGCCAAGGCCTGGGGGTCAGATTTTATATCATTTCTCCTGTTAACACAACGGGGTGGATTTCAGTCCATACTGCTGCGGGAAAAAAAAAAGCCTCAGCTGATTGACGTTTGCTTGACAATGGAGAGACTTAATCACTTAAGTTCTTTTTTCCTCTTTTTATATCTTTGTTGTTTTCTTGTGAGAGTACACTTGCTCTCTGTGAGCCGTGCATTTTGGACTTCCTACTGTGGGTGGTTTAATGCTGGTTTCATAGCCACTGTGTATTCTCCTGAGCCTGATTCACAGTGCTCGTGCTGGTGTGATCTGGAGATGATCCAGTGTACAATTGCACTGGAGAATGGGATTTCATCAAAATGTATTACAAGAATGTGCTAGTTCCAAAAAACTTTAATCAGAGAGGGGATCTTAGAGCCAGAAGGTATTTTCTGTTGGGAAGGGGCACTGGTGAATGCAGTGCATCTTCAGTGCAGAAGCTGTTTTGATGTTTGTTTCCTACTTGGCAAAGCTGGTGTTTGAAGAGAGATGTGATTTTTTTGTTTGGTTTTTTTTCCCCTCAGTCTCTGGGCTGCCTGGCTCCCAGCACAGCTGTGGGTCCCATCCGTGGGGATCCCACACAGGGCTCGGTTTGCCATGCATCACGGCAGGGCCACATCTCACCCTTCCTGGCAGGGTCTGTCTTGGGATCAAACGGGGCTTTAAAAAATGGAATAAAGCCCACTATTTTCCATGGCATGTGTCAAGAGCTGAGCATGGCCTGTGCAGTAGCAGGCTGCAGGGAGTGGTTGCAGGCTGTGGGGCCATGAAGGGTGGCCATGGTGGGGCCTGGCCCAGGCTCTGTCCCCTAACATGGCACAGGGGGCTGCCTGGCTGCAGAAATGCTGGAGTGGGAGCAGCCTGAGTGCAGAGCGCTGGAGCTGTGTGGAGCACGGTGCTCTCATCTGACAGTGTCTTGTGCTGCTCATTCACACTTATTAAAAAAAACTGCTGGACTGCTTGGTACCTGAACGTGCATCCTCTGTGCTTGGCTGCTCCACGGTAGGCTGGTATCCCACCATGGTTGCTGGGTGCTCTTGGCACTGTCTGCAGCTGGGGAGGAACGTGGCTGCTGTGGAGCACCCTGACGGAGCCCTGCACCAGCCCTGCTGGCTGTTGGTGCTGTTGGGGTGGATGCACAGCAGTTCTCTGTGGCATCGTGCCACCTCCTCACAGCCAGCACCTGTGCCAATCTGTGCTGCCTTTACCTTCAGCCCTGTCACCACGGGCAGCAGGCGTTCCAGGGTGGCTCAGCAGATCCCCTGGGAGCTGTGCTGCACCACGTGCTGTCAGGTATTACACCTGCTTGCAGATGGCTGAGGCCCTCGGTTGTGTTTAGCAGGCTCTTGTTCTTTATTCCTTTCTGCTAGCTGTCAGGAAGTTTGACTCCTGAGCTGCAAAGAGCCAGCTTGTTCTTCCCCACTTTATTTTGATCCTTTTGAAATGCTCAGGTGCTGACCCATTGTAGATGCTGAACTTAAGACGTAGCAGCTGCACTGAAATACAGGTTACTGTTTATATCTTTACAGAAGGATCACATAAACCCATTCAGCTGAAGTAAGATCTGTCTGTGCAAGAACAAACATGAGTTCAGGGGCAAAACGCAACTCCAGTGCCTTAAAATAAAACAGAAACAAAGCACTTTGAGAAACCTGAAAGAGGTTCCTGGAACACTCGTGCTGCTATTCAATCTATGCACAACAAACAAACCATTGTTATTTCTTGCTGCATGATAAACAAACTGCCACTATTTCTTGCTGTGCAATGGTCCTCCTCTCAGGATCCCACTCTGGCATTCATCAGTTTGGTTTCAGGCAGTGCTCTGCAGGTGCTATGCAGCCTCGTGTTGTGTTGAAGTGGCATAGCACTGGCAAACTGAGCTGGAACATAAATCAACTGAAAATATCAATAATAATCCCCTAAATTGCTCGGTGGTTTTCTGGGATGCTTTTTACTCTGTAAGTATTCTTTATTCACTAACAACACTGAAGGAGTGATGGAGGCAGGAGGGGGCTGCCAAGGCAGGGCTGCTCTGCTGAGACTTGGTTGTCCCACTTTGTGGGTTTGGACCTGGGCTCCTGGTGCCTGAGCAGCATCTGAGTGGCGTGCTGTGTATCAGGGCAGTGCCACATCTCCTGGCAAAGTCTTGCAGTCCTGAATGAACAATGCAGAGCACATGGAAAACCAGGGGAGCTCCATGAAAACTTTTGACTAGAACCTGGATGTTATTTCTCAGCAGCAAGCCCTCAGGATGATTTGTTCAACTCTTGGTTGCAATTCCGTGACTTCCAGTTCAAGAGCATTTCAAAGTAAGCAATCTGCCAGATAAAAATAATCCTTCATTTAGTTTCCCTGGATTTATTAGTGTGTCTGCCTCTCTCTTCTGGTGCTGTTGAATCTGATGTAGTTTTGAAAACTCTCACCCACAGAGATCACTGAGGATGTGTTGCTGGCTGTTAAGGGTGCTCAGTATGGAAGCATTTCAGAAGAAAGAAGGGAGAGTCAAAGCCACAGCAAGATGTATTAGCTAAATATCAGCAACAGGCATGTGTAGGAATGGTTCCTTATAGTGTTGTTCTGCTTTCAGAAAGCCATTCCAGCAATTAGTGCTCCAAACCTGGATGCACAGAAGTTCTTTATTTTTTTTTGTGCTTGCCCAGATTCATGTTAAACACATCCAGAAATGCCTTGTGTGAATTTTGTCAGTTGATACAGAAGTACAGCAAAGAGATGGAGGTACCTACTGCCTTACGTAGCACAGAAATGCAGTATCTAGAGAAATTGTCTGGGAAGTAGGCAGAGAGCTGTAAGGCCAGTCAACATTGTGCTGCACTTTAAGCAAGGTCTAATTAAGTAAACTTTTGAAGAGGAATTCGTTGAGATAAGTCAATGGGAAGAACTAGCTCCCCTGGGACTGGATTTCAGGCACATAAATGTGGATGTGAACACTTCTTTATTATAAAGATATATGTGTAAAATTGAGAGCTATTTTTATTTCTTGTCTCTCTGCTCTTGAAGTTGGACCTCCAGCTGATGTCCTAATCCTCTGTCACTTAATTGGCAGCTGGTAGTATTGCTTTCTTTGAGCCTGTGTACAGCAGTAACTGCTGCAGCATTAACACCATCTCCAGCTGCCCATGCTGGGGGCAGCACCTTGTGGCCACCACTGCTGTGGCATTGTTTCCTATGGTGCACCTCTGTGTTCCCCAGTGCATGGCAGTCCTTTCCCCAAGATGCTTTTGCCAGCCCGGGCTCCCAGTGTGTCCACGTTCTGTGCATGTATGGGAGGTGCCATGGCCATCACTGGCACTTTGCTGGAGGCAGTGGGGAGGTACCCACGGGAGAACATTCATCCCACTGGAGGAGAGCACAGATCCCTTGGTTCCATCATTCTGCCGCTCCTCGCTTCTTCCTTTCCATTTATGGAGCCTGCATCATCGTCCCCCGCATCCCTGCAGAGCTGTAGCCTTCTTCCTCTCTCTTCTGGAGACGGAAACAACTTGTTGGAAAAGTGTGTGGATGGCTTTAGTCACAGGCAGTCGTTCTATCTGTTGGTTTAGAAGATATCCAGCTGTTAATGTTTGCCTGCATACCGTTGTCAGTGCTTGTGCCATCTCAGCCTGCTGCCAGCCAGCCACAGGCCAGCAGGGAGCTGTGTGTGAGAGCCACGTCCAGCCACCACTGCCTACTTTGGGCACCTTGGAGTCTTGTGAATGCGTCCCATAGGCAAACCATGGCAGAGCCTCCAGGGCTGTGACTGCTGGGAGGCTTCTGGATGTGCATGGGAACGGCCACCAAATGCCCTTCCTAGTGGCAACTGAGGTCCTCTGCTGACTTCAGCAGAGCCGTGGCATTTACATCAGCTGGGATGTGGCTCAGTTGGGACACTTCTAGTCTACATCACTGGAAGGTATGGAGTGTGTTTGTTCATTTCCTTAAAAGCACAGGGATGGGGAAAAAAAAAACCAAAACACCTTTCTGCTCAGTTAAGAAAATAAATTTCTGCTGATGTGACTTGAAATTTTCACCACTGCAGTCAGCATCATCGATAATGTTTGCAACGATTGCACTGGTGAAAATTTCAAATTTCCTCAGCAGGATCTCCCAGTGAGTATTTCCCTGTTATCTTTGTACGTCCCTTTTAGCAGTAGCACCTCATTTTGTGAGTAATGCAAACATAATCTCTCTCCTGTTTACAAAAAGAGAAAAAGATTGTTTCAGCATAATGTAATTAAAAATGAAAAACAAATCAGATAAGCTCATAGCTAGAGGGGCTTTATTTTTGCAGAATTATCCTCTGCTATTTCATAAAATTAAAGGGCAGAAAATGCATCAAGTACTTTCTAATACCATCAAAAATTTGACCAGTTTAATTGACACTTTTTAATAGGATTAATTTAGTACTTGAGAGAGAGAAAGGATTGATAGGATTGGAAACTGAAGGCTGTAGTTTGTAATATGAGTGAATGTCATCAGAAACAGCAGTGGGCTTCAAATGCCCTGCTGTTCTCTTTTAACATGTCCTGAACAGGCTCTCGAGACAATAATTCAGCTCAATCTCATTTTGTGTTGGACCTATACGAAATGGAGAGTGACAATCATTACGAATTTTGCTGAGCTTGGGGATGGTTTGGGACTAAGAAACCTGGTGTAATATTGAAAGTGCTGAGGCCATCACATTCACTTGAGTGATCTGAAGAACATAGAGGTGAAAGTCCAGCATCCAAGGAGAAGCTCATTCAGAAGGCAAGATGTATTATTTTGCTTCCTGCACAGATGACCATCTCCTGAACTAATGCTTGCAATTTAAATGCCATACCAAGGACATCCTTTGGTTTTAGGCAGGGACTGTTTGCTATGAATTATGAGATTATGGCTTATTTGTGCTACAGATGAAATAACATACTTGTATTTCCATCAGAATTTGAACAGGCACGAAGATACGAGAGAGGTAAGAAAATCAGGTGTTTTTTCTGTTTTTTTTCTTCCTCTTTTAGAGCATGAGGTGTATCTGAAACATTGAACAACCTTAAACGTTCCTTAAAGTTCACTGTAGATGGAATAAATGATCCGTCCCTTAGCAGGTCATCCTGTCTGTACTTACACGTAACTACATTAGCGCTCTCTCCTCGAGTGTAGAAGGCATTCTGGCTGACCTTTACTTCTCAGACTGTGGGCAGCCCTCCCTTCCCTTTGGCACCAGTGACCGATGGAGACGGCCGGTTGTTGTGCTGCAGGGCGCTGCGCTGTGGGGTGGCAGCAAGCTTGGCAGAGCTGCCTCTGGGCAGGTGAGAGCAACGGCCTGGGGGGAGCCGGGCTGCGAAGCACTGGGTGAGCAGTGCTGTGATGTGTGCTGGGCACATCTGGGGCTGTCTGCACTCCCTCCATGGGGCAGCCCAAAGCAATGTGTGGATTTCCACCTGCAGGTGGTCACTGCTGCGTTCGGGGCGCACATGTGGCTGAGGAGACCCCGTGTGAGCTGTGTGCAGGGAAGGACAGAGAAAAGGCAGAAGCGTTCAGCAGCCTGACAGTGTCCTAGCAAGCACAGGTAGTCAACAGTCAGGGAACGCAGTGTGTCTTCAGAGTCATTCACATACGCAGGCAAAGGGCTGCATTTATCCGATAATGCACTTGAAGTGCACAATTCAAGTGCTGATCTTTAAAGTGCTCCATGAAGTGCCGCTGAAATGCTGAAAAACTGTTCTTAAGCGGCTTCTGGGGATGCTGCTTTTAAAATACAGATTTCAGTTCTTTTGTGCGGTGTTTCAGGTCACTGGTCCTTTGTTCCACTTCTCTGAGCCCTTGTTGGAAGGCTGCCATTTCTCATCCTGCTTTGATTTCCAGCTTCATTTGAGGAGCTGCTCTGTGCAGATTGTGTAATGAAGAGGATTTCCTCACGCAGGAAGAGCTTCCAATTCTTCTCTTTAAGTATTGGGGTGGGTGTTTTCTTCATTGAGCGGTGACTGCGTTTAACAGTTTTGTTTCTTTAATTATGAGTGATGAACTTTCCCTCTGTTGCTCTTGTGTGAAGTCACAGTTCGTGGCATCAGTCCTGCAGAAAGAAAGAAGGCAAATACTGGCAGTGATTCTGTGGGCAGTGAATCTCACTGAGGCTGGTCCACCTTGCACCAGATCTGGCTCAGCTCATTTCGAGATGCTTTCCTCAGTGCTTTACCAGTGCTACAGCTGGAGTGAGCTTTTGAGATCTGCTGTTAAGAGTGGGAAGTCAAAACGTTGCATAGATCTCAAGAAGGAAACAAAGCTGGGGGTACCCAGAGTGTCTGAAGGGGTGCTTTAATTTCTCTGTGCCATTTGAAAAGGAAGAAAGATGGAGAGAAAGGGGGAAAGAGAAAATGCTCAGCTGGAGGCTGGGTGGCCGCAGGCCTGGTGCAGCTCCTCTGGCCTTCAGCTTGGAGGGAATTTTACTCTGAAATGATGCTTCTCTGAAAGGCAAACTGTAGCAATTAAATTGAAGTGCAAGCTCTCTTGAATCTTGTGTGGGTAAAGCCTGTCTAAAATCAGTTTATTTAGTATTCTTTCAGTTGGAAACCATGTTTTTATAGACCAGAATGCAAATTTATTCCTCACCGTCACATTCTGATGAAGAGGTGATAGGACATATTGAGCAACACGCCATGCATATTCCAAGGAGAACTACTAAATCTGTATGCAGAGATGTTTCCCATATGCCTGTACTCAGCCTCACTACCTGTCACAGTCTGAAAGGAAAGAAGTTTTTTTTATCCCATGTATGGGCAGTGGCCATCCATCCTGCTGCAGGCGTGGTGCTGGTAACAGGACCAACAAGCAGAGGTGAGCAGATGTGCTGCAGGAGCACGCTTGCCATCTCTTGTACCCAGACCTTCGCTGCAGAGCTGTTCCTGCAGAGCACACGACTGGCCCTGTGACATACGGCTTGTGGTAACAAGCTGTAGGCATGATGGTGATGTCAGAAAAAGGTCTGCAGCTTGGGCCCAATGAGTCTGACACGTGGAAGGGACTAATGCCAACGTTTCATTTCCTTCCCTGGGGTTGATTTCCCACAAATGCTTGAGCAAAACTGGAGTTTGGCCATGGTTGCAGTTTAGTTCTGACCGCCGTTTCCCAAACTGCATTGGTTGTGTTGGATGCGGTGCTTCCTCTTGCTTTCAAGAAGTCTACTCAGTAAATTATGTGATTTTAGTTTTTACCCTTTTGCTTTGCCTTAGGTAATATCAGCAAATACTACAGAGAAAAGTTAATTTCAGTATCTGAAAGTTATTTCGGTTTTCTGCTTCATTTTTGTCCTATTTTGTCAGGTTGGGATTTCTGCCCAGTGTCAGACCACTGCTCTTTGGAATAGCAGCAGATTTTGATGACTTTGTGTCCATTATCTCTTTCTTTTTATCCCATATCTCCTTCCACCCTCCCATTATTTCCTCCTTTTTCTTTTAGTCTCGCTTTAGATGAATACCTTTTTTCCAGATTTAATTCTACAGCTAAATAGAGTAAGTATGTGTGTACAGGTACATATTTCTGTTAGAAACTGTGGGAGGGAGGTGCTGAATTCTCATAAAACTGAAGCCATCAGTAAATGGTTGTAGCTTTCAATTCTTCAACCTCCTCTTGAAAGGTTCTATGCATAAAGCAGCTTCAGAATGGATTTAAGCCCATTTTCCTCTTGAGAGGCAACACCATCGCTTCTCTCTTTTATGACTTTTTTGTATTTTATATATGGAACTTCTTCCAGTGTTCTGCCCCATTCAGGTTTTTCCAATGCAATGAAACACAAAATTGGGACTGGAACACTCCTTACTGTATACTCCTTATGTTTGCCTTGTCCCTCTCTTTTTCACTCTTAGCTTTTTTTGTTGTTGTTCACTTGTTTTAAATCTAATGGAGAATGAAGACTTCTGCATAATGCAGAAGATCTCAGCCACCTGGAGAGGCCTTCCTAGGGATCTGAAATGATATCACAGTGAGGTAGCATGTTCTTAGAGATGAGAATTAGAATGAGAAATAGAGATGAGATGAGAATCTGATTTCCTGTGCTTTCACAGCTCTGGGGAGCTCCATGCAGCAAGGCAGTGACCCCTGGTTCCTTCCCCACACTTCGGGCAGTGCTGACAGTGAGCATCATTCCTATCCGTCCTGGGACAAGACCTTCTGACTCCTGCAGTGTTTTGTGGGTAGGGAGAAAGAGCAAGCAAGGAGTCTGAAGCTACTGGGTGTCTGCATCCAACCTTCCATCCCGTGGGGCTGGTCTCTTCTCACTGGTGATGAGACGAGGGGAAATGACTTCAATGTGCCAGGGTAAGTTTAGGTTGGATATCAGGAAACACTTCTTTGCAGAAAGGGCTGTGAAGCTCTGCCATGGGCTGCCCAGGGAGGTGGTTGAGTCACCATCCCTGGATGTGCTTACAAACCGTTTGGATGTGGTGCTCAGGGCCGTGATGTAGGGGTGGGCTGTTAGAGTTGGGGTAGGATGGTTGGGCTGGGGTTGGACTCAATGGTCCTTAAGGTCTTTTCCGACCTGAGCAATTCTGTGATTCTATGGTGAGCAGCAGTGAGATGTGCAGGGTGCTGAGGGAGTAAGGGAGCTCTGTTGGGAGGAGGATGCCCAGTTGGTGTGAGCCTGGGAGCTGGCAGCCAAAACACTTCTGGTTCCTGAGCGAGGAGGAAGGAATGAAGGAAGGTAATCAGATTTATCTGGCTCATTTACTACAATGCGCCGTAGCTGCTGGAAACCAGGGGTAGATATTAAGTGCCACTTGATAACATCTCTACTAATGACAGTAAGTGATTTCCAAAGTGAGATAAGGTGTCACAGCCGTTAACAGGACTACTCAGTATTTCTTAGAAATAATTATGGTATTTTGGGTTTTTCCCTCTTTAGATCCACTAGGCTGCCTAGAATGAGTGAATAGTGACGTGTTTTCTACGAAGTCAGTGTTGTAATTGCAGATTTGAGATGGGAATTGGGAAAGAGGACTGTGGTCTGTTAGCTCTAGAAGAAACACTCTTTTCCACAGTTACTGTTGAGATAATCCAGCACTGATTACCGATGATCCATGATCCAAGCTTTCCTTGAATCTGGGGGCCAATTTTCTGCAGCTTTCTCAGCACAAATTTCCTACATTAACTCCTAATTTCTGATAAGAATACAGATGCCAGCTTCCTTCTGTGCTGCTTTGACTGCACCGCCCTCTCCTTGCACTATCATTTTCACTTCTTTCAATTGTTTTTGGCAAATGTAAGACCTTGATCTTCTACCCCAAAGTGTGCCCAGCTGATGGCCATTGCCATGCCCAAAGCAGACTCTGTTCCTGGCTCTGGGTGCTCTCCAGCTGGAGGCTGGCAGTGCCACATGGAAGGGCTCTGCATGCTGACTGCTGCAGTGCCTCTGTACTGCTTTCCCTGAAAGCTCATTTCAAGGGCCTTAAGTTTTTCTAGGTCTCATTCTCATCTGAAATAAGTTTCCAGGTTATCTTGGAAGCCATCACTCTTTCAGGTGCTGGTTTCCATTTCAGGAAAGCGTGTTTATCCTCAAAAGCCATTTCACATGGCTTTGAATTCAGAACTCTACCAGCCTGCCTGTAAGTCTGAAGCCTGGCCTGTCTGTGCTGTGATGACTTGTCAGTATGCTTTCCAGGCCTGACATCGTGCTTTCCAGGCTGTGGGAAGGGAGGTGGCCGCTTGCACTGAGCCTTTGCCTTGAAGTCTATGTGTCCTGGTGCAGCAGGAGGGACAACAGAGTGGACCGTGGGCAAAGGGGCAGAGGGCTTAGCAGTGCCAGCAGGCTGGCTGAGGGCTGTGTGGTGCCAGCAGCAGTGTGGAGCACTGGGGTATGGCTGCAGTTCTGCAATGCTGAGCAGTCCCAGCTCCCTTCAAGGGACTCTGGCAACTTTGCAAGGGAAGGCAGCGTATAAGCTTGTGTTCATTCTCGCAGAAGTCCAGTTTAACAGACCTCCTCCATGGGCTGTGCAGCACCTCTGAGCCTCTGGTCAGCTTGCCTTGAGAATCTCTGCCCTGTGTGCCTGTCATTACCTGGACCCATGTTCCTGTAATCTTGTCAGCAGCATTTACCATGCCAGAAAAAAGTCTGTCAACAGCAGGAAAGTAACAGTGGCTTTCTGAGCATACTGCAAATTCTCACTGTTAACCTTTCAGTTCTTGACAGAATTTTGCCAGTTAAATTCCAAGCCAGTGACAGGAACATGGAAATGTGGATTTAGGAAGCTGACAGGATGGAGATGCACCACTCCTGCAGAGGGCTAATGCCTAGCTATGGGGACGTGTGGTTTAGAAACAACTGCAGGCACATGTATTGTGTCCTCATTATCACAGGCTGCTCTGGTTAGTGCCAGTTGTCAAGCAAATAAATGCTATTTATTCAGCTGAAAAATGTGGCAGTCAGTTTATTATTCATCCTTTGTGTAACTGAATCTTTCTTGTTTTTGAAATATCTACATTTTTCTGAATATTATTTTCCCTGATTTTGGGCATTGTAGGACCAAGTTTTGTGTCAGTGTGTGTATTACTCTGTATGCAGAAGTACAGGAAATAAATACATTGGGACTTTTTCTCCCCGGTGTTGCCTCGTGCCTTCTCCATCTGGGCTCCATCCTGGCTGGGAGCCGGGGGCTGTTCCTCCTGCAGGGGCAGGGCTGCTCCTGGGAGGCTCCATCTCCCTGTGCAGGTCAGCTGCCTCATTGTGGGGTTCCTGGTGGGAAGCAGTGCTTGGGGTGACCCCCCCCCCAGTGTTGTGTCTGCCTGCAGGAGGTGTCATGCGATGCTGGCACCCCAGCTGGCTGCCTTATCCCTCAGCTTGGAGCACTTGCCAGCTGTGTGCCTGTGCCCCTTGTTCTATGGGCTTGTTCTCAGTGCAGGTCAGCAGCCCTCTGCCACCCCAGCCAGTGTCGCTTCAGGCTGGGCACCAGTGTGACCCCATCAGCTCTGCTGAGCCTGGAGGTGCTGACAGCATCGTTCATCCACCGTCTGCCCACCTTGATCTCAAGGGCACGATTGACAATTACTTGAGAAACCTCTACTAAAGCACCTACTGTCCTTGTGTTTAAAAAGCCATTCAAAGAGAATGTTTTTATTTTAAGAATTTAGCTGCCACCAACTATGGAGAATGGGCAGAGATTTTTATTCGTTATGGCAGATGGGAAAAGCAAGACAAATGCACCTTGTAGGGTTTTTGTCAATGTTAGGTATGTTATCAAAGCTGGTAGTGGGTCTGAGGTGTCGATACTTTTGTTATTGTGTGCATTTGATGCTGTCCTATTTTAAGAAATGCTGCTTCTGTTCCCCCACCTCTGCCGCATTCTGTGCTCTAGGAAGGAACCTCCTCTCTTCTGCCTTGCAAGAACATCAGCAGTGATCTGCTCTTCCAGGATCCCTCTAGCTGAAGAAACCTGATGCAGTGATTGGAGCCATTTAAATATTTCACAATGAGACACTAAATTTGCTGCTTTCCCCAAGAGATGCTTGGGGAGATGCCCTGTCCTTGACTGGCTGCTGACACTGAGCTGGCTGCTTCATTAATTGCAGCGCTGCTGGGCAGGGTGTCGTAAAGCCACTGCTCAGCATTCATAAGTGGGGACTGCGTATTTATACTCAGCATTGTGCTGTGCCATTAATTTACCAGAACACAAACTGAAGTGGTAGTTATTAGCAGTGCCCATTTATTATAGCCGTTTTATTTTTCATGTCCTTTGAACATTAATTGCTCTTTTTAATAGGATAGAGTTGGTCGAACAGATGTGAAATAAATGATACAGGTCTGTTCAGTAAATGCGTTTTAACTTATTTCCCTCTCTTTATTAATATCCCACCTATGCAAACGCACCATTTGAGATTATTCTGAGTGCTCGATAGACTCCCGTGGCAAAGTGTCACCAACAGTTATCACTGACTTTAAAATCAATCGGTGTCGTGATGTTCTGGCACGGAGTGGTTCAGCAGTGGGTCGCTGTGCTGGGAAGCACAGGGAGAGCAGTGCCCCTCCGTGTCGCTGCCAGGCACAGCCACGCTGCGTGGGGCATTGCGATGGAAACTGAAGGCTATCGTGGGTGATGACGTTCCGTTGGTCGGATAGCGGTTACTTCTGAAGCTTACATGGCAGTAAATAATTTAATTCCCTTCATGCAGTTGTATTACTTAATGGGGAAAAAAGTAGGTACCCAACCGTTTGGGTAGCAGCTCACCATCCCTGGTGACGTTAAGTAACTACAGATGTGTTATCTGGAAGAATTCTGGGAGCTTTCATTGCAAACAACCTTCAATAATAAAATTAATGGTTGTGGTTATGGCCTAAATTAATTTCTGCGTTGCCTCACTCCTCCTTGGCTGAGTTGCTCTCCTGTCTGTGTGCAGGGGGAAAGGTGTTTTTTGGGGGGGGATGTGCTACTCAAAATTTACCATAACTTCTTTCCAAGAAAGCACAAAAGAAAATGCTGAGGTGGGTTCTGAAAGTGTCTGCTTTTATCCTTTGTGAGTCAGGAAGCTCTTGACCATTTGATGCTGTCATATACAAATGCTTGGGTCGCTGTGTCCTTGTGGGTGATGCAGGAGTGTCACTGTGCTCCCGGAGCAGAGCTGTCTTTGTAGATGCACGCAGGAATTGACCTACTCAGGGCCTTGTAAACAGAGTCCAGTCCCAAAAGCAAAGCCTCAAAGACTCCAACATTCCTCCGTAACCAATTTCAGACTCTGGAGGATGAGAAAATAACCGTGTAGGCAAAGGATTACCAAGCAATTATTTCTAATTGTTTCTATTTCTGCCTGCCTAGAAAACCAGGAAACAGGATTTACTTATGAACAATTGCTTTAATAAAGTCAAATGAAGTTTCACCTTGTTGGAAGATGGGAATAAAGCAGAACTGGGAAATCAGAGAAGTGCTGTTCTGAAATGCTTGACCTTGATGAGTTTCTAAAGCCATAAGGCATCTCAATTTCAAACACCACTGATTCTTCACGCGCTGGTTCTGCTTGGAGCTTGTGCATTCACAGGCAAGGTTGTACATGCATTCAGAGAATCACAGGAATGGTTTGAGTTGGAAGGAACCTTTGAAGGTCGTCGGGTCCCACTCCCTGCAATGAATGCTGCAGCTCCCAGCTCCACCAGGTGCTCAGAGCCCCATCCTCTGACCATGGGCGTCTGCAGGGATGGGACATCTACCACCTCTTTGGGCAACGTGTGCCAGTGCTTCATTGCCCTTATTGTGAACTTCTTTCCTTTTATCCAGCCTCCTGGAGCTGCACACTGAGAATTAGCATTCCTTTGGTACGTGCTGGGGGACGGTGTTCGGGTGTTCAGCTGGAGGGGTGCTGGGCGCAGTGGTCAGTGCACACCCTGCCTGTGTTTGTTTCTCGGTGCAGCTCAGGAGCTGCTGCCATCTCCCTGCAGCTGCTCAGCTGGGGGTCACAGGGCTGCAAATGAGAAACGAGGGCTACGAGGAGTCCTGTGTGTGCTCCTGGGGCTCTCCTCAGAGATGCAGGGGCCAAGGCCCATCACACTTCCTGGCCTGCTGGAGCACAGCTTGGGCTTTGGCCATCAGAGGCAAAGAAGTGCCTTCCTCCCCTCCTCCTCCTGTGCTGATGTAGCATCCAGCCACATCCAGTCACTGGAGCCCTGTGTGGGGACCTGCCCTGCAGATTCTGTACTCCTCCTGCTTGGAGCTGGGGGGTGTTTGCCGCCCCAGACACCTGCAGGCCCTCTGGTACCAGATTCTTGATGCACAGATGAGCCTTCCACAGTGTAATTACCTTTCCCTCTGCTTCTTTGGGTATCAAGCAGAGAGGAGACACTTAAGAGAATCCTTGACCTTCATCGGTCTGTCATGAATCATTAACCTGGAAGATGGATGGGGAGGAGGTGCTGCAGCCGGGCAGTGCAGCTCTTGCATTTCTGACTATCTCTAATTCAGCTGCTGTTCTGCTCTGTCTTTCTAGCAGTCTAACATCATTCCATGCGGTGGAAGCGTAGCAAAGGTCAGCTCTCCCATATATCTCTTCAGCTGAGCAATCCCTGCCCTTTATCCTTCCACATTTGCATAATGTGTGCATAACGGCGGTGCAAAATTCTGCCTTCTCCCTTCAGGACTTTTGTAACTGTGTTTGTTACAGGGCCAGCTTCTTTAAAGAAACAGCACTGTACAAATGTGCAACGCTCAGAAAGCACTGGCAACAAGGGATAGTATTGAGGAGCTTTACGTTTCACCATTGATAATCATTATTACTTTTCAGCAGTTAGAGCTGTTCACTTTGCTCTTAGTTTGAAGAAGCTCTTTCCCTGCCTCATCCTTTCTCCAAACCCCTCGAGGTGCTGCCTGCTGCCCCAGGTGCAGCTGTGTGGAACCAAAGCCTCCTTGAGCAGACAGCAAGCGCTTCTTGTTCACTTCAGTGCAGCTCAGTTTGTGGAGGGCTGCCTTCCTGCAGAAGCTTTTCAACAGCAAACCCACTTCCAGAGCTGTGCTTGGGTGGCTTCCTTTTGCTGCTGCAGTCCCTGCTTCATCAGCCTGAACTGCTGCTCAGGGAAACCCACGGACCCACCCCATCCTCCTCTCCGCCTGGACTCCTGGACTCCTCTCCCATGCTGGACTCCTCTCCCAGCTGTGTGAGAAGAGGCACATCTGCAGCAAAGGTCTGCACCCCCTCAGCCCCGGGCTGGCTGTGTCCCATTGCAGAGCTGTGCCTTGAAACGTGCGGTGCCCCAAGTGCGTGCAGCTGCTGCACGTGTGAGAGGAGATCGTAGCGTAAATGAAAGAATGGTGTTCAGCATTTCTATACTTGTGACACACGCAGCACGGCCTGGATGTGAGAGCTTTTGGGGATGCACAGAAACAGACAGAAGGAGAAACTGAGAAGAAGGAGATAAGGAGCACAGAGGTGTCAGAACTGTGGATCCTCCAGCAGTGGGATTAATAATGAATCCTCTGCCCCTGATCTGGGAATGGAGTACAGCTGCTGCTGACAGCAATACATCTTGAAAAGAAAAGAGGTTTCCTATTGATTTCCTCCTTGACAATCACGTGTAGTAAAATGTAACCACCAATCAGCTGAACCTGGAAATGTGCATGTGGCCAAAAATCAGGGAAAGATGAATTTTTTTTTCTGAGGAACAAAGCATCAGTTTTCTGCATCCAGAAAAGAGTTTCAGTGAGCAACACGGGCATGAGGCGATGGAGGAAGGTGCCTGGCATGCAGGGGCTGTCTGCAAATGAGATGGATCCCCATCTGGAGCAAGGGCTGAGTGGGGCACAGCTGTCCCCAGCTCACATGTGTGCTCCCCAGCACCTCCTTTCTGCTGAGGAAACCACAGCACCACAGGGATGACTCTGAAATCACAGCGTCACCTCCAGCTCTTCCACTTGTAACATTGCGTTCTGCTGAACTCCTCCTGCACTGCTGCCATAGCATGAATGGCTTAATTGGTTTGTCAGCAACCTCTGTTGAGGTTTTAAGATGAGATATTGTAGAGATGGAGCAGCTACACCTAATGCAGCACTACATTCAAAGGCAGGCTCATAGTGACAACAGAACTTTACATGTGCCAAAGTGTATCCAGAAAATGTGAAAGAGGAAAAGTCGTGACTGAAGGAACCTTTTGTTTAAAACAATACTTGAGGAATCTGTAAATGTCAGCTCTGCACACAAAAGAGCTCACACCAGAAAGAGCGTGGCAAGTGCTGGTGACCAAATTCGAGGTCTCTCTGGAAGTGCCCCTGTGAAGGCCCTGGAGGAGTTCCCAACCTGGTGGCCTCCTGCTGTTCTCTGGTTCTCAGGGTCTTCCTGTGCTGGGTTTGTGGCAGGAGATGCTGGGTTAGGGTTAGGGTAATGGGAAAGGATGTAGGGTAATGGGAAAGGGTGTAGGGTAATGGGAAAGGATGTAGGGTAATGGGAAAGGGTGTAGCGTGGTGACAGGGGATGCAGGGTGGTGGAAAGGAGTGTTTGGGTCTCAGGAGGGGAACTCAGAGCAGAAATCTTGCCCTCACCACACAAAGCACCTTGGTGTGAAGGTTGTCTATGCCTCTGCAGCCATGAAGTTGAGGTGCATCTTTTGCAGTTCTGTAGTCTGAAGCATTGAAAATGAAACACTGGGCATGGCCACCATCCCACTGGAGAGCAGCAGCTGAGACAGCACCTTGGCCCTGCCAATAAGAACCAAGTGAGGTAACCTGCAGTTACTGATGCCAGTGCTTAGCATCTCCAGCAGCAGAGTCATGGTGAGAGCTGCACTGCCTGCCAGTCACAGCACGTGGTGAGGCACTGTGCCTTGTCTGATCGCCCTGACAGTGAGAAACAACCAGAGCTGAATGCTTATGTCTATTGTTTGTAACGTGCCCAAATGTTTACATAATGTAATTATTTGAAAATAACATTAATTTTAAAAACTAAATGCCTTCTTGGAACACAAAAAAGAAAAAAGAAAAGAACGTTCAACAACTGCAGTTAGTCTGAAGTCACTTGACATGGAAGAGTCACTATTGATGTATTTAACAAAAAACTCATTAGACCAAAATTCAGACTGAAAATAAAAGATGTTATTTAATGCAAATAGCATTGATTAAAAACCGTAGCCTCATGAATCCAAGCCCTGTGTAGATAAATGTTGGACACATGCAGTACTTTATAGAGATCAGACTTCAATGGAACCTCAGTCCTGGATGTGCCCCAACACAGCTCCTGGTCTGACTCAGTAATGAGAGGGGGGACTTTGTGGCAAGAGACAGCTGCATTCTTTTCTACGAAGCAACTAATTTAAAGGACAAACAAACAAACAAACACCCCTCCTGCCCAGCACAGGAAACCCTTGCTGCGGTGTCTGAAGCATGGTGATGGGGTTACCTGTGCCTGCAGCATCCCAGCACCTCCTGCCATCTCTCCAGCTCCCCAGTCTGCCATTCCCCCTGCCCAGCCTGGCCTCGGGAGCTGCTCTCCCCACAGCCCCCTGTGCTGTCACCTCCGTGCCATCCTTCTGCTCTGGCTCTCAGTCACACTGAGCCTCTCCTGCAAGTCATAGTGGGGGTTCGGAGCAGATCCTTTCCTCAGCACCCAAGGAATCAGGAGACTCCAAGCCCACAGTTTTCTTTTCCACCTTCTGGCAGGTCGCCTCTGACAGCAGGGGCTTCCCAGCACGTATTAAATTCATGAAATCAGGGGAATTCTTTTCTCAGGTTGAGGCCAGCTGGCAGCCCCAGCAATGTGCCCTGCAGTGTTCTGCATGCAGTAACCATCGCCCGCGCTGCCCAGGCAGTGGGTGCAGTGCTGCTGCTGCACCCCCTTGTCTGCTCTCTTTGTTCTCTGAGTGCTTCTATGAC